TTTTTTTATTTACAAGTTTAATTAGTTGAGGTTTGCTTTCCAAAAGCCAATTGAAAAATATTAAGATCCAATATACCCAATTCCACTGAACCAAAATAATATTGGCAACCTTGGATAGATTAAATATGGTATGCTTAATAAAATTTAAAAAAAACAAAGTTTCTAATTTCTCATAGCATGTTTTGTATAGGGACTCCTGCTGACTGAATTTTGAATGAGTTACTGCTGCCATCAAGTGTTAGAATTCACTCAAGTCACACCAATGCACAAGATGGCATGGCATTTTCAACTTAATAACACAATGCTCTCCATAACATAAAGCATAGCAAAACCATGCCATCATATGACACTTACCAGAATTTCAAATGCAACAATGTAATTAAAGTCTGCCAAATGAAGTTGTAACTAGTTACTATGAAGGCCATATTTTGCTAAATTTACTTGATATATATGTCAAAGAGATTCCAAATTGACTTCAAATTACTTCCAGCCTCTCAATGCTCATCCCTTTGTTTAATCCTTGCTTCTAACCAATAGGATATGGCCAAGTTAATGGATGTCACAAATGTCAAGCCTATGGCTATGATACATGTGTGTATGTGTGTGTGTGTGTGTGTGTGTGTGTGTGTGTGTGTGTTTGCATTTATTATGCTAGAAAGCTCTAGGGAGTTCCTCTTTGCTGGCTTGATGGAGTAAGTAGCTGTGTTGAGGAAGCTGGTGGCCAGGGTCAGTGGGTAGACTCTAGAAACTACAATTGTTCCCTAAGACCAATAGGTGGTCTCTAAGCCTGAAGGCATCCTCCAGCCAATAGTCGGCTAAAAGGCAGGGCCCTCAGTTATTCAGCCACAAGGAAATAAATTATGCCAATAATAAAAATATTGTTGAGAGCAGATTTTCCAAAATTGAGCCCTAGGATGAGAACCCAAAGTGCCAGATGCCTTGATCACAGCCTAGTGAGACCCCAAGTAAAGGACACAAGTAGGCTGTTCCTGGACCCAGGATATTTGGAAAGTCTGAGGAAATAAATGTATGTTGTTTTTAGTAACTCAGATTATGAGAATTTTTTTATGAAACAATAGAAAACTAATCCTATATAATAAAGAGGTAATATGCAAATTAACCCTCACACCCTCACAAGATGGCTGCCTACGACCAGGCTGGCAGGGGGGTTAGTGAGGGACAACCAAACG